AAAAAAACTCACCAGTATAAAAGGCTTCTGATTTAAGTTCATTTTTAATTGAAACTGTCAAGTATATCTAGTAATGCATTACTATTTATGCACTTTTCACTTGTCGCTTGTGAACAAGTCATTTAGATTTGAGAACATTTACAAACGTGCACAGTTCGAGTGTTGTCATTGTGTCAGAGAGTAAATGTCATGAATAAATGTGACATTTAACATAATCCAAGTTGAAGTGTTACATCATTTTCAGCCCCTTTTTAGCTTCTGCATTTGGTAGCAGCCAAACTGACAAAGACCGTGCAGAATAATGTAGGATTTTAATTCCACAGCAGAGAAAGATATTTAGTCTCTGTAAGTAGGTCTAGGGGGAAAATATCGGTATTGGTATCGGCCAAATAAGTTTTAACATATCAGCATATCGGCCAAAAATCCAATATCGTGCATTCCTAAAAAAAGTTCATTCTTAGATCAGAAGCAGCTGAATACATGGTTAAACTCTGAAGTGATGTTCTCTCTGATAGTTATCAATAACCAATACCTTAATGTTTTTCAGGTTTATGACACAATCTTTTCTTAAAAATGGCATACTGGTTCAAAAACGCCCTATATTAGCAAATATTAAACCTCTACATGTTTGTATGACACTGTTGTTTTAATTTGTTGCTGTTTTCTCAACCGAACCACATCCAAGGTACCATATTTTTTGGACTATAAGGCGCACCGGATTATCACTTCCGGTTCCGGTAAGCTGATGGATGGCAGCTCTCCTGGCTTCTCTGCAGTCTTTTATCCTCAAACTGACCCGTTTTTTTCAAATCGGACCAAAGTTGGTCCCCCTTCCAACCAAATTCGGTGTTCAGTGACTCAGAGAGCCAGACGGGACCGTCCAAAAAATTATTTTGGTCCAGGACCGGCCGCTCCCACCTCACCAGTCACTCTGAGTGCACCCTGCCGGCCAGGTGACCCCTTGAGCTGGGGAGTCGTCGCACTTACTGTCTTCACATATACACAAACCTTCTCTAACGTCTTCTTCTTTTCAGCTCCATAATTAATATATTTTATCCGCTGTTCCTTCTTTGCACATGCCCTCTTAGCCTAATCTTTGAGAATTTGTCTCATAACCTAAGTTGATCCTCTGATGGACTCATTTCTTATTCTATCATCCTAATAAATATCTGAACATGTTTTTCCACCACCTCCAGCTTCTTCTGCAGTTTTTGTTTTCTTTCTCCAAGACAGACATAATGCAAGACATCATACCGTAGATTATTAAAATTTTGATTACATTTTTGAAAATGAGAAGAAATGCATACTGACATATCAAGACAAATGATATGCCATGCAAAATGCTGTTTCAGGTTCTGAATGGGTTGGCTGCAGATGCCCCGCGCCTGCAGCGGTTCTGTGGTACAGTACCTGCAGGAACTCAAGTGCATTCTTCCGGTAATACCATGGCTGTTGTGTTCCACACTGATGCTTCTGTAACCAACGGTGGCTTTTCAGCGACGTACTCTTCTGATGAGTCTGCAGGTGAGAGTTTAAAAAAGAAGTAATCAGAGTGCAGCTCAGTGATCACACAGAACGCCGATGGGCACAAATTACATTTCAGATCTATAACCAGTTGTTGACTAATGACATATTTTCATGAATACAATATTTATTGAGTTATTGGTGGATTCATTAGTTTGTATTGATGTGAAATTAATTATTTAAAATTTTAATGAAAAGTGTTTTAAATATTAAAATTAAAATGTCCTCAGATGTTTCAGATGATGCTTTTGTTTTTGCATAATTTTCCTTTTTCTGTTTTATCTTGTTTTATTCCATTAGAATGTGGTGGAGTTCTGAACAATCCCGCTGGTGGGAATTTCACCTCTCCTGGCTACCAAGTGTCCAATTACAGTAACAACCTTAATTGTGAGTGGTTAATTGAAAACCCACGTCATGTCAATTCCTCGATTGTGGTGCTTGTTCAGGACCTGCATGTGGAAAACCATCAAACTTGTAAATCCGACTTCCTGCAATTCCGTTTAGGTAAGTCACTCTAAGAATGGCCTATCTTTAGAAAGCAGCACAATTACCAGGTGGACATTAAGAATCATAGCCTAAAATAATGTCTTTAGAAAATATTATTGGACCGTAATATGCATTACAAATGGTAATCTAAACATGTCTTGGGAATTTATGTAATTTACCTAAAATGGGGACTTTTTGATGTTCCCATACAAATAACTGTTATAATCATAATCATACATCAGTAGATTTTGTTGTCTAAGTGGGATGTCTGAGAAACTAGCACTGTGAAAATGAAAATGCTCCCTAAAATGGCATGACCAATGAGTCCTGGAGAAGCACAAAATTAAGTTTAGCTAAAGTGTTCATGGGTTACTATATCCAAGTGGCTGTATAGTGTACAGAAACATCTGTGCCTGTCGTGTTGCTGTTGTTTGTTAGAACCCATGTGCAGGCAGAGGCAAAAAACTCAGAGGGGTAAAAGATTTTAATCAATGTATTAAACAAAGAAACAGCCTGACATGGCAGTAAAACTTACATAGTCATCAGGGAACAGAGGGAGGCAGAAACTTGATGCCATACAAGAACAATGCGCAGACAAGGGGAACATAGAGATGCAGACTTGAATACAAACACCAATAATAAGAGACACCAGGGAACACAAATCCTCACAGTGCTGAGTATGGACTGGAGGTCCCACAGTCAAAGTGAGAGACTTCATCAAGGGTGGTGGAGAATGAAAGCCTAAAATACTGAGGGACTTCCAGATCCAGACTGACAAACAGGCAATGGCTAACTAGCCGGACGTTGTGATGGTCAACAAACTGGAGAAAAGGGCAGTGGTGATAGATGTAGCAATCCCAAGTGACTATAACATCATGAAGAAGGAGCACGAGAAGCTTGAGAAATACTGAAATAATAAATACTGGAGTAGTGGAGAGTCAAGGCCTCAGTGGTGCCAATGGTCATCAGAGCACTCGGTTGATGTGACCCCCTAACTGTAAGTGTGGATCCCAGGAACAACCACAGAGACATCTGACCAGAGGAGTGCAGTCCTAGGAACTACTATAATATTGTGGAGAAACCTCTGGGTTCTAGATTTCTTAACCAACAGACCACAATCTGTGAGGATCCATGACTACTCCTCCTCCCCCATAGCCCTCAGCACGGGCTCCCCTCAGGGCTGTGTGTTGAGCCCCCTCCTGTTCACTCTGCTAATGTATGACTGCATACCGACCCATCCAGGTTGTCATATTGTAACGTTTGCAGACGATACAGCGGTAGTTGGATGCATCAAAAACAATAATGAGTCCAGCTACAGGCTGGTGGGACACCTGGAGAGCTGGTGCAAGGAGAACAACCTTCACATCAATGTGAAGAAGATGAAGGCGATGGTTGTGGGCTTCAGAAGGAATAAACACAACCCCCCACCCCCAAAAAAAACAAACAAAAAAACATAGGAGGATCTGTGGTGGAAGTGGTCTCCAGCTACAAGTACTTGGGTGTGCACCTGAATGACAACCTCAGCTGTGGCAACACCACCAGCCTGATCAAGAAAGCTCATCAGAGACTCTAGTTCCTCAGACGGCTGAGGTGAGCTGATCTGGTCTGGGAAGCTCAGTCCTCACTTCCTTCTACAGGTGTGCAGTGGAGAGCATCCTGTGCTCCAGCATCAACATGTGGCATGGAGGCTGCACAGCTGCAGAAAGAAAAGCTCTGCAGAGAGTGGTGAAGGCTGCACAGAAGATGTTGGAGTCAGCATCCCCACCATCACTACACCTCCAGGTGCAGGAAGAGGACCACCTGCATCATGAAGGACCCCACACACCCAGCACACACACACTTTTTGCCCCACTCCCCTCAGGCAGAAGGCTGAGGAGCATCAAGTGCAGAACTACCAGGCTGAGGAACAGCTTCTACCCTGAGGCTGTTAGACTCATGAATCTCTAACCAGAAAAAAATCACTGTGAAAAATCACTGTAATGTCACTTGGTTGTTGATGTGTGCTGCTGACTATCCATGATGCTGATCTCATGCTGCTGATTTTTTCATGTTGCTGTGTTCATTGGTCCTCATCTGCTCACACAGACTCATGTTTGTGCTCCTGTTGTTTTGGCACATTGTTTTTGTATCATTAGTACTTAGAGTATTCTTAGTCTTGTGTATTCTTAGTTTAGTGAATGTAGTATATTCTTAGTTCATGACTCAGATCTTACTAATGTTTTTCTTTACAATTTGCGTTTTTGTTGGATGTAACTGGGACCCTGTGTACATAGTTTTGTTCCACCTCATGTACCACATGTGGTGTGTATGACAGATAAATCTCTCTGACTCTGGTAGAGGACCCAAGTTTATATTGAAGTGAAACAGCAAGTGGAAAAATGAGTGTGCGTTCAGGGTTTTTATAATACTCCTAACAGTCTCAACTTGCTATGATTGAATGAGCGTTGATAGCTATGTGTTAATGAGGAAAACATTGTAAAACACATGGTAAACCACTTAAATTTTAAAAATAAAATTCAGCTACATTTTATTTGTCACTGATCAATAATATGCGTAACTTGTCAGTCCAAAATTTACTCAGCCAAAAACACAAGTTGTTCTCCATTGTACTCTGAACGGTGACACAACTTTATGAATGGAACATCATGATTTATTGAATAAGGCATACTGTAAACTTGTGATTAGGACCAAACCCCAGGATTATCACAGGAAATCTCATAATATTCTGATTTGAATATGATTCCCTTGTCACTGGACCTAAACTGCTCAGCACAAGTAAAGAAAGACAAGCATAGGAAAGCTATTGGGAATGATTTTCAGTATTTAGATTTGTTTTTATTTAAATTTGGTTACAGCTGTGTCTTGTCTGTCTACACAATCATTCAGGTGACTCAGATGGGGAACTGTTGGCCAAGTTCTGTGGACAAACCGCCCCTCAAATTCCCATTGTTGTATTTACACCAAAGCTCTGGGTCCACTTCCAAACTGACTCAGCCCAGGTTGACTTGGGCTTCAAGGCCTTATACTCATTCTCTGGTAAGGCAGCAACCACCTAATTTCATCCATGTGCCTTAGATTAGATTAAGGAAAATGGCACTCGCTGTATTCTAACGGGGCAGCCATGTTGTGACCAACAATGACATTCAGCACTATTCTCTCTGCGCAGAGTGTGGAGGATGGCAAACAGGTGCAGGAGGAGTGCTATCCAGTCCTAATTATCCAGACATCTACCCCAGTCCCAGTCGCTGTGCGTGGCTGCTTGAAGCTCCAGTTGGCCATACTATCACAGTGAGTCTGTGACACAGACAGATGCATTTAAAGAAAGAGAACGTATAGGTATTAACACAAATGCATTCATAGGTTTTAAAGGTGTGTCCCTGAGTAGTTCAACTCTAATAAGAAAAATAACATGATACATTGGACACAAAGCAGTACAGAAGTGCAATCTTGCTTTACAGCAAAAGGCTTGTTCTGCAGTCTGAACAGCTTGTCTGGGTGCTCTAGTTTTTCCAAGCAGGTCAAATGTTTATGCAGCTACAGTCAGAAGGTCATAATCACTCACCAAGCTCATAAATGCCAGATTAATTTGAGTCTTTTAATACTTTATTTGAATGATTTTCCCCAGAGTGCAATTATGAAACAACATACCACTTTAATGATTTTTAAAAAGAAAAAAAAAATGGATGGACAAGTTTGAATTTATTGTGGAGTTTTTCTAAACCACACAAGCTCAGAAAATGCATACAGTCTCAAATATACCTATACTTCCCATTAATATTTGTTAAATATCTCTTAGCAAGTTGTACTTGACCCTCAGGCTTTCTGTATCCACGAACACGCTTCTGGTGGGATTCTGGCAGATATTTGACCACTCGTCTTGGAAAAAAATGGCAGAGTTCATTTAAACTTGTTGGTTTCCTGCCACAGAAATTGTGTTTAAACATAAACCACCAATTTTTAAGTTGAGGTCAAGTCTTTGGGAAGGCCATTCTACAGGCTTAAATTCAACCTGGTTTATTTAATCAGAAACCAGTCCTGATGTGTGCATGGGATCATCGTCCTGTTGAAACACCCAACTGTGCAAGTTTCAACAAAACTGCTGTAACTTTTAGCTGAAATTTACTGATATGGCGTTAGTAAGTAAGTAAGTGCTATGTGTTGTCATCATTGTATGTTCCCATACAACGGCACACTTAGTTCTCTGCATATAACCCATTGCACCTGAGATACACCTAGGTGGAGCAGTGGGCAGCTATGTGAGCACCCGGGGAGCAACTAGGGATTAGGTGTCTTGCTGCAACATGTGGGAATGGCTGGGGATCGAACCTGGGACTTTCTGGTGCCGAGCCGGCTGCTCTGCCTCTACTCCATCTCGGCCTCTATGTCCTTCATTCCATTGTATTCCATCCACTTGTGTGATGTACTGGTACCATAGCATGATACAATCTACATACAAATATTTTAAATGCCGGTAAACGATCAGCATATATGGGACATGTTATTACCAGTTAAGTTACTGTGGGTACATACTTTCTCAATCCTTCAGCACTTTTTATTAAATATTTAAGTAAATATACTGTATGTGGACTGTATACGTGAGCCTGCATGGATATATTGACCCTGTTGGAAAATAATGGATCAGTTTAATCCCTAAAGGTTTAAAACATTGTTATATTCACTGACAATGATTAGATAATGTATACTTTTAACCATTAGTTTGATCTGGGGCTCTGAAATTTGTTAAGAGCAAGGCTTTGTCGTCACTCTGTAGGCTCTATACAGAGACAATATGTAAGGTAAGGTAATGATGTTCCCAGCTCTTAACCCAGGGTCTTCTGGACCAGGCCCCAGCTCTGTATATGAATAGGATTAAAAAAAAAGTTAAAGATTTTTATTTTCTTACCAAGTTGAAGAAGAAAAGATCTGAAATGAATTATGATGCCCCAATGATCAAATACTGAGGCTAACAAGGCCCAACACTTTGTAGGTTATTTATTGTGTGCAAACTGACTGGGTCTGCCACTCACATGTCTTTCTCTTCAGTTGACTTTCAGCTTTTTCAACCTGGAGCCACATACCACCTGTAGCTGGGACTCTGTTACCATTTTTAATGGAGGCTCTCCTGGATCTCCTATTATTGGCCAGTACTGTGGTACCACCTCTCCTGGAACTATTCAGTCAGGGTCCAATAAACTTGCTGTGGTTTTTCTGGCTGACCACAGTGTTTCCAGAGGTGGATTTGTTGCCACGTGGTCAGCTGATTCTTCAGGTGAGATTAAATAAGAAACGGCTTTAAAATGACCTGCTGTAGTTCTTAAACTCTTTAGGATAATTATGCTTTAAATCATTGCTTTTTTGATAACATGATCCACTTTCTCCACCTGTTATCATAATTTCATATTCCATGATAAACATCACTTTTGGGGCCATTTAAATCACAATGTTTTATGAATAGCATAACTGATGTTCTTCTATCTTGATTTTGTGGCAGGGCTTTTTGTGAACAAATAGTTTTATGATTTTTATCTTAACTACCTACACAATAATATGTTGTATATTACTGTATTTCACTAGGTTGTGGAGGGGTGATCCATGCTGATACTGGAACAATTAAGTCACCAAATTATCCCCAAAACTTCCCAGCCAATGTGGAGTGTACCTGGCAGGTCATTGCTCATGAAGGAAACCACCTGGAGATGAGCTTCAATACTAATTTTGAGATTCCTGATTCTACTGGGACCTGTCAGAACTCGTACATCAAGGTACAAATGCTAAGATTGCTCAAATAAATGATTATCTTCTGATGAATTCAAACAGGGAATGCAACTTGCCTTTAATTTATTTATGTAGTTTTAGTTTGGAGAAGAGAAATTCCAAAAAAACGAGTTTGTGGCACTGCATGATTATCAGTAGATAAGATACAAATCTAAGACCACAGTTACAATATAGTAAATTCAAACAAAAAGATATTGACATAAGCTAAGAAATAAAAAAAATAAGGCCATTTGTTTTTGATACTCCATATTATCTGATGAGAGAATTAGACTGATTATTTATTAGACAGATCAGCTCTATTAGACATATTCACATTAGATTTTTTTTTTCTTGCGCTCTTTGAAGTAAATGAAGTAACATGCACATTATTATACCTGAGATATCTGAAGTCTTATCCTTGGAGCTGGTGATGGAAGATACTTATGTCAAAAGAAAAAAAGTAACTTTGTACAGAGCTTTCAGCTTTCCAGAATGGATCACTGGGCGTGATATCTAGTCATTTTCACAACTTTATATTTGTGAGAAAACACCTCTTCGGTGAATCAAGCTTACAAAGACCCTAAAGACCCACAAGAGGAAAAGGAGGGAACGTATGCCATCTAGATCCCATACTAAATGGACTGCTTTAAAATAATAAATTATCTAGGTCTTGTTTTGACTTGATAAATGATTCAACCCATCTGTTGGATACAGTATGTGCAGTGAACGTTGAGTGTAACGCTGTTAATTTTAAATGTCCGTGACTCTGCAGGTGTGGTCGGGCAGCTCCCAAAGCGATGAGGCTCTGCTGGCGACAGGCTGTGGTTCTGTGGCTCCAGGTCCCATCGTTGCTCCGTATAACATCATCTCAAGTCGATTTCAATCTTCTGAAACTGCTGGGAAAGGTTTCTCTGCTTCGTTTAGTAACCGTAAGTAGTTTCATTTGCACTTTTCTACTAAACTGCATTCAAAGTTTGATTTGTTTAGTAGAATTTAAGCTTTTATTTTGTTTTGTTTTTGTCTTTTGAACATCTGCATTCTGGCATTCACATTCTGATGGTTGTTAATGTTAGGCCTGGGTACCACAAGTACCAGTACAAGTATTAGACAGTATTTCTTCTGCTTCTTCTCATTATTTTCATTTATTTTATTGATTTTTTTTATTTATTTATATAAAAATATGTGTGGTAAATTGTCTCAACAACGCCACCTAATTTAAGATGTTGAAAGTGATAGATTAAGCATAGCCTTTAAAAATGTAATAGAGTCAATTGGTGTTACCCAAAACATCCGAACCTCTACTCATTCTCTTCATCACACTCTTGACCTATTTCTGACTTGTGGCTCAGAGATTAAGGGCTTAGTAATACTTCCTCAAAATCCTGTTCTGTCTGATCATTTTTTAAGAACCTTTGAGTTTACCGTGTACATTAAATGACTACACAGTCACTGAGAGACTTGGCTCTATGTAAAAAAAACCTGAACTGAATTGAAATTGATTTGGCCACACTACACACTGGTTTCATTTAAAGGTCTGACATGTAGTAAGTTTTTTCAGCTGCTACCTGCTTTTGGGGTTGCCACAGCGAGCAAACTTGCATGAAAAAAATGACGTAACCTCAGCTCAATCCTGCAACATCGGGAATACAAGACCACAACACCGACTACCAAGCCACTGCAGCCCCAGAGGTCTGAAATGTGGTACACATGTAGAACTCACCGAGACGCACACAACAAAAGTATGACCTAAATCTAACGTGAACTGGAGCGTTTTGGAACAAACCTGCCATTTATGCGTTTTACACATATTGTGTTTAAACAAACTATTCAGGTGTCAGTGTCAACGTGGCCTGACCTCAAATTTACAGTTTTCATCAACAGGTAAAAACAAACTGAACAATGATCGGCATTAGAATTAGCCACTGTTGGGAATTTAGCTTTTTTGAATTTACAATGCAAAAAAGTCACAGAATTTAATACAAACAAAAACCTAACTAATGCACCGTTTGTGGCTTCAAGTTATAACAAATCACTCATAACTTTCCACCTCTTTGCTTCTTAAGGCTGCGGTGCAAACTTTACAGCAGCCAGCGGTCGTGTGGTCTCTCCAAATTTTCCAGCTGACTACCCCGACCGCTCGAACTGCAACTACACTATAGATGCTGGAGTGCAAACAGTGATCGTCCTCACCTTTCAGGTTTTCCAGCTAGAAGGTATGTGTGGAAAGTAGCAAAAATATTTAAATAAATAAATAAAATACATTACTAGTTTGGTTCCTTTGTCCATATTGCTTAATATCACAGACGTGTTTTATTCTACAACAATAGTTTATGACCAGAATCTGTTTGGTAATTACTGGATGTTGTGCCTAAAGTAATCTTTTATCTTTTTTTTTTGTCTAGCACACTCCACGTGCATGTATGATGGTCTGAAGATCTATAATCCAAGTACTAGTGGTACTGCTTTTGCCACTTTATGTGGTACCACCATTCCAGGTCCCTTTTCCACATTTGGTTCAATGTTACTCCACTTCTACTCAGACTCTGTGATCAGCAGCAGTGGCTTCATGGCTGAATACAGAACCATTCGTAAGTAATGTGAATGAACTGGAAGATAGATGTGTACATGTAGTACTGTATATTTATGGATGTGTGTTTGTGTGTGTCTACAGCGTGTGGTGGATTTTTTAACAGCTCCGCAGGTACTGTGAGCAGCCCAGGACTGTCCATGATCAATTATCACCACAACATGAACTGTACCTACCATATCATGGTCCAAGCAGGCAGAGTAATGGATCTCAAGTAAGACATTGAGTGCATTACATAAAGTAATTGATTTGTAGGACTAGAGAGGGAACATTATATATAATATCATGGACATTCAAATACTTTGTTTTCTCTCCTTAACTGTTCAGTCTCATCTCCTAACTCATTACCCTCTCACATGGTCTCCACAGAATTTTGCAACTCTCTGATGTCTTATTTCAATGAAAAGATTCTTTCGATTCATAAACACCTTGGACCTAATACCGCCCCCAGCATCTATGTTGAACTCCCCCCTCCCCTTCTCTGTCTTCTCCCTCCCCTCTGCTGATGACATTGCTGACATTATCAACAAGTCTAAGTCCTCATCCTGTCAGCTCGATCCATTTCCCACAGTTCTTGTTAAATCCTGTCTCCCGTCTCTGCTCTCCATCGTCACTAACATCATCCACTCCTCCCTAACCTCTGACATTGTTCCCACAGCTTTCAAATCTGCTGCCATCACCCCCATCATCAAGAAACCAGGTCTTGACTTTACCAACTTCGGTAATCTTCGTCCAATCTCTAATCTGCCCTTTATTTCCAAAGTTCTAGAAAAAGCCGTTGCTAGTCAACTTCACTCTCACCTATCCAACAATAACATTTATGAAAAGATTCAATCTGGTTTTCGCCCCCACCATAGCACCGAAACAGCTCTAATAAAAATAACTAATGACCTACTTCTTGCTGCTGACTCTGCTCTTCTGTCTATCCTCATTCTACTTGATCTAAGTTCTGCCTTCGACACAATCTGTCATTCTATCCTCCTCAACAGACTAACCTCCATTGGCATCTCAGGTACTCTGTTAGACTGGTTCAAATCTTATCTCTCTGACTGCACTCAATTCATTCAGCTTAAATCCTTTTGTTCCCAGTCTTCCCCCATCTCCACGGGTGTCCCCCAAAGCTCTGTCCTCGGACCCCTCCACTTCATCATTTACCTCCTTCCTCTAGGTCACATCATCCGCAAATTTGGTGTCCATTTTCCCTGTTATGCTGATGACACACAGCTCTACTTGTCAACAAAACCAAACTCCACCCTCCATCCTCACCGACTGTCTCAATGAGTTAAATCACTGGTTTTCTAACAATTTTCTACAACTAAACAGTGACAAAACAGAAATCCTTCTTGTTGGTATCAAAAACTATCTCAAAATCAGAAAATCTTCTCATCCCCCTTAACAACTCTCTGCTATCCCCCTTGCCTCAGGTCAAGAGTCTTGGTGTCATCCTCGACACCACTCTCTCCTGCACTTCACACATCAACAACGTCACTCGGTCTGCCTATTTCCATCTCCGAAATATTAACGGTCTCCACCCTTCTCTCCCACCCCGCTCCACAGCCGTCCTTGTGCACAGTGTTGTGACTTCTCAGATCGACTCCTGCAGCTCCCTTCTTTATGGCCTCCCCAACAAATCTCTCCAGAAGCTGCAATTGGTCCAGAACTCAGCTGCCTGTATCATAACTCAAACCTCCTCCTATAATCACATCACTCCAGTCCTGCAGCAACTCCACTGGCTCCCGGTTAAATTACACATCGTCTTCAAAATTCTTCTCACTTTCAAAGCTATCCACAACCTTGCCCCTCCTTATCTATCTGACCTCCTACACATCTCCATCCCCTCTCGCTCTCAGATCCTCCTCTTCACTACACCTCCATGTACCCTCTGCCCACCTCTCCACCATGGGGAGCAGGGCCTACACCTGCTCTGCCCCTCATCTCTGGAACTCTCTACCCCCTGACTTATGAAACACCACTTCTCTTTCTCTATTCAAGACTGCTCTGAAAACACATCTCTTTAGACTCGCTTATCCTTAACTTTAATGTATGTATTTTACTTTGTATATTCTTTATGTATTTTATATTTCAATTTATTCCTGTTGATCTTTGCACTGTGCTTGTTTTTACACAATCTCTCTGATATGTTTCTTACTGTAAAGTGTCCTTGGGTGTCCTGAAAGGCGCTTTTTAAATAAAATTATTATTATTATTATATCAGACTGCACAAAAGTAAAATGTGACTTAAGGGTCAGAAGAGGTCCTTAAAAGATTCCTTTTGAGCTTTAGTTTTTCACCTGATGCTCTTGCCAGTTGTGGCCCCTCAGGGTGATTAAATCATGAAGTCAGTCTTGTGTCTAACTTTGTAGTAAATTGGTCAGAAAATATTTAGTCTAAAAACTATGGTAGCTATCCCTATAACATTTAGATTCAAGATGTTCTGCATTAAGCTCTAATTTGTTTGTGAACAGTTTGAAAGTTAGTGTTGTATGTAGAAAGTACAGTTTGTCTAACAGCCTGTAGTTGTCTCTAATCCACGTGTCACATGTTGCTTGGACTGTCAAGGGTATTGAAAGAGGGATGATTTATGAGTAGGAAAAAATGTGAGGCTTAAAAAATTGATCAGATGGATGGTCAATTAATAAAGACTCTAAGAGGGCTTATGGAATAATAAAAAAAAAAGTGTCAGGTTAGAAGGCTCTGGAAGTTAACTCAAGGAGTCTGAAGTAAACAGTGAATTGTTTAGATAAATATGACTTGACTGTAGATTTGCGTATCTTTGTCTTGGACTTGACTCAGAGTCTGTATGTCTTTACTTGAACCTAAGCAAGAAGACTTGAGACGTAGTTTTGACTTGCAAAACAATACATTTGTCCCATCCTTCATGTTCTCATCTACTTTCTCCACAGATTCAACACTTTCCATCTTGAGGCATCATCTTCATGTCGTTATGACTATGTGGCTGTCCATGATGGACAGGACACCTTAGCACCTTTGCTGGGGACATTCTGTGGTTCAGTCCTCCCACCTAATTTGCGTTCCACCACAAACCAGTTGTTCATTGTCTTCAAGACAGATTCCACAGTTAATGGTGTAGGCTGGAGAGCTACTTACAGTGAAACACTTGGTAAGTCTAAGATGAAATTAAAGAAAAATATATTTGTACTGTACAGAAATAGAACGAATGGTCCAAGCTAAAATGAAAATTATTGGACGAGAACCATTCATTCATCTATTTTGTGTATTCACCTATTCCTCTTCAGAGCGACAGTGGGCTGGTGTCCATGTCCAGCAGTCAACAGATGAAAGGGGACAGACTGGACACACTCTGGACAGGTCATCAGGACCAATACAGAGACAAATTAGATTAACAACCATTCACCTGAAGTCAAATTAGAACCTCAAATTAGCAGAAAAATAAGAAAATGCATATGTGGGAAGGAGAATGCTAATTTCACAAAGAAAGCTCCAACAAAGATTTGATTCCAGATGTTTGAGCTGTGAGACAACATATTGCATTTTAACATTGCACCGTCATGCTGCCATGAGAAAAATTAGTGATTCTTAATAAAAACAAAGCGTATAGCCTAAAATAAAATGTTTTGACTTACAGTAAAATCACAAACAACATGAATAAAATAAAAATAAAACTAGTTTGCATCATAAACATTGAATTCAGAGCAAAATGTTTAGACTGTGCTGCACAAATTCTACCCCAATATGACCTGTACCCAAGTACCAAAACACTGGACCAAGTGTATATTGATGTTACTAAGACCTACAGAGTGTCTTAATGGTTACTATCCAGGGTTGGCTGACCACCTGTTCTTTTTGGACTAACAAAGAATTAACACTGAGCTGCCCGTTGCACCAGGTCTTTGAAAACCTGCTTTTCTTTAGCTGAACAATTGCTTTGATAACACAGACTGTAGTATATCTGATGGGCAGGGAACACTGAATGATCCTAGAGTTGCTTTGGATAAATACACAACCAAAATTGTGAAGTTCACATTTTACTGTTTGGATAATGTCACCAGCATAAACGCAGTTTGAGTGAGCCCCGATCGCAAGCCATACGTGATATGAGAGTTATTGTTAAAGGTCTGAGATGCTGCATACAGATGTAGTTGTGTTACAGCACACAATGCATCCAGATTGGAACATGGAAGGAACATCAAATCTGCAAAATCCAAACACAAACATCACGTGGAACATTACATCACCAGTACGAATACAAGGCAAAGGAGATAAAGAACCATTACAGACCATTATAGGACAATATCACTTCCTGCAAACAAACTACTAACCACCTACTAACTACTATTAACTACTACTACCTGCTAACCACATACAACTAATTACTACTACCTATTAACCACATACTATTAACCATCTACTACTAAATTCTAACCACCTACTACTACTAATTATTACTACTAACCACTTACTACTACCTACTAACCACCTACTAGTACCTATTACTACTTCCTAACCACCATAACCACGTACTAATAACTACTATATACTAACCACCTGATACTAACTGCTAACTACATGTCACTAACTACTAACCAACTACTACTTACTACTAACCATCTACTACTACCTTCTACTACCTAATAATCACCTACTTCTAACTACTAAGCACCTACTACTAACCAACTTCTACTAACAACTACTAAATACTCACCACCTACTACTGACCACTTACTATGAGCTACTAACTACACATTACTAACTACTAACCACCTCCTACTAACTACTAACTACATGCTACTAACTACTAACCACAAATTGTACTTGTGTATTTCAGAACAATGATTATAAATCTTATTCTGATACAACTAGCTACTAACAACATGTTACTAACTACTAACCGCCTACTACTAACTACTTACCACCTACTATTAACTACTCATAACCACCTACTACTAGCTACTAACTACATGCCACTAACTACTAACCAACTACTACAAACTACTAACCATCTACTACTACTTACTACTACTTACTAACTGCCTACTACTAACTACTAAGCACATACTACTAACTACTGACCAACTATTACTAACTACTACTAAATACTAACCACCTACTACTGACTGTTAACCACCTACTACTAACTACTACTAACCCTTTGCTATTAGCTACTAACCACACATTACTAACCACTAACAACAGACTACTAACTACTAACCACCTGCTACTAACTACTACTAAATACTAACCAGATACTGTGCTTCTGTATTTCTACTGTAGTTTGGTACAATTATATTTAAGCTTATTCTGATTCTGATTAAACTAGCTACTAACTACATGTTACTAACTACTAACCACCTGCTATTAAATACTATTAAATGCTAAGCAGATACTGTACTTCGGCATTTCTACTGTATTTCAGTACAATGATAATAAAGCTTATTCTGATTCTGATACAACTAGCATGTTACTAACTACTAACCACCTAATACTAACTACTAACCACCTAATACTAACTACTTACCACCTAATATTAACTATGCCTAACCATCTACTACTAACTACTAACTACAGTTACAGCTACAGTCCAAACACCATCCTCTGCTCTATTGAGTTCAGATCGATCTGAGCTGGAACTATAAGAAACCATAAGACTTCATGCATTCTTATTAACATGTGTGTTTATATTGACTTTAAATCTATTTAGCGAGGTGAAAAAGCTACTAACCACCTAGCTGTCAAATGTTCCTCCTTGTAGGCACAATTTTATTTACCAACATTTTTTGTTACTTTTTAAACCTGCATTTATGTTCTTTGATTGATTATTATTTTCTTAACAATGACAATAACAGACTTGGAAATTGAACTTGTCTGTTGATTTTCTTCTGAATTCTTCTCCAGGTCCAGCTCAAGGATGTGGTGGTTACCTCTCCATGCCTATGGGCATGTTTGGTTCACCAGATCCAAACCTGGACGGACGTTATGAGCCCAGGATGGACTGTCTATGGACCATTGAGATGCCAGTCAACAGGGCTATCAATCTGACCTTCAGCTCCTTTGACATTGAGAACTCTGCTGATTGCCGCTATGATTATGTCAAAGTAAAGATCTTGACCGCAACATTAATAACACATTAATTGAACATACTTAAATTGAACATTTATGCTGTCACTGTTTGTCTTGATTAGTTTGAAGTACATTAACTACAGTTCTTATTGTCAATTTTAAATTATAATAGCAAGTTATATCAATGTTCATTAAATTTTGTGTATCTCTACCAGGTTTATGATGGTGACAACATTAACTTCCCTCTGGTTGGGACTTTTTGTGGACTCTCCATCCCTGCTTACTTTTTGTCCAGTGGAAACTTCCTGACGATTCACTTTTTCACTGACAGCTCCGTAGAGAAGGCAGGCTTCAATGCTACCTACAGATCTATACCATGTAATAGACTCTTTTTTTCCCCTCAGATCTATTTTATTGCAAAAAGAACATGATGTTTATTGGAAAATGGGTCAATCTCTAGTTAGCTTATTAACCCACCTGCTGCCCTTGGGTCAAAATAACCCCCGTGGCCTGATTGTTAAGACAGTCCCTTCCAACAAGCAATGATTGTGCTTCACAATGAGAGATTTGTATTTACTAACAGGTTGTTGGCCCACTCTCCATGATCAAACTATTCAAAGTATCTCAGCCTTTAAGAATGGTATCTCCACATGGCATTTTGTTCATTTTTCTATAGCTGTTCCATAGAACGAGGATATGGGCTTCATGGAGGGCCATTTAAGAACAGTCCACTCTTTCGTTTTGTTTTGTCAGTCATTCTTGATAGTTTTAGCTGTATATTTTGTGTCATTATCCTGCTGAAGGATCCATGACTTGTGACTGACTCTGAGCTTTCTGACACTGGGCAGTTTGTTTTGCTCCAAGATGTCTTGGAAGTCTCAAGGCTTCTTTATGCTCTGCACAGAGTCCACGTTTAATGTCGCTCCATAAGTCAATCCAGACGGTGCACAGGTTTCTGCGTCTGATTGTACCATCTTGAGCTGCAATTCTGTCATCCAATATCAAGTGCTTCCACTGGTGATGGTGTCAATACCCTTTACTGCGCTCAAGTATCGACCCATGAACCTATCTTAAACACATGGACTGCACTTATACACCACACTTGATGCTGACTTGTGCAGTTGGCTTTGAATTTTTCATTCAACCTTTATTTAGACAGATAAGTCACATTGAGCCTAGAAGACTCATTTACAAGTGAGATCTGTTTAGACAGACAAAAAGTAATGAAACTGGACACATGTAGGATTTGGAGGCGAGAAATTTCCTATCAGACTTATTCTTCTTGCCTGAGAAGAAAAATTCTAGTATTAAAAAAAAAACACCTCGCACAAACAAGCACATAGTGACAGACATTTTGCAGAGGGGGACGACGAGAGCGGTAAGCAATGCCCATAGATGCTCTCGAGTGCACTGTAAGAGTTCTGATAAGGATGGAATAATCAGCCCAATAACTCCTATGAGAATCCAAGAGTCCTGAAATGATGACACAATGTTCATTCAGCTGGTTTCATCAGTTGGAAATTCCTCAGGGAGGGGGTGGTGAGCGTCAGATCACATGTTCTCCAGGCAAATTCAGATAATATGGCCTTCAAGGTCAACCAAGGGAACCAAATTCAGATAAACACACAGTTGTTTTGGGAACAGGCAGAACTTAATAACATCTACCTTGAATCTGTGTTGGTCCAAACGGTTACGAAATGTCCAAAATGCATGGCCACACTGACGGAATGTGACTGAGTAAAATCCCCGAGAGCTGATCCATTCTGCCCAAAGCATTTGAGTCTGGGTACTCGAAACATGAACCAAGCCATCATAAAGGCAAGCAGCCTGATCGGGTCCCACTTTGCTGCCGACGACTTCCTTGATTGTTGATAAAACCAGCAACCAGCTGAATCCAAAAAGCAAGAACCAGTTATCATAAATCCAATTATAAATGCATCCTTAAAATCCACAAATGGCAGCAGAGATAGACGCATTATCAAGTCTTCCAAGTCAATGAGATATCCAGCTGCGTGCGTGCCAACAGGGCAAATTGGCTCACCTAAAGCCTGTCTTCTCTTCGAAGAAATGTTATCGTGTTGAGGGACCAACTGATTAAAACAAGTCCATAATTATGGTTCGGAAGATATGCAAGAGATTCTCAGAAGCAGTTTCACAGACAGACAGAGCAGCAAAGCAAAGCGGAGAGGGAGGGGAAAAGCATCTGATCTCGGCAAGAGCAAGTGGTGAAGTGAATTGGCTTGCAGAGGGCCAAGATGGGGCCAAGATGGTGTATCGGTAGGGCAGCTGACTTGGGACCAGAAAGTCGCCGTTCAAACCATCGCCATGCCCACATGTTGTGGTGCCTCTGTGCAAGACACCCAATCCCTAACTTTTTCCTGGGCGCTTACATAGCTGCCCACCGCCCCACCTGAGTGTATCTCATGTGTGATGGGTTAAATGCAGAGATCTAATTTTGTATGTGTCTGTATATGAATTATTATGGAAATATGCAATGATGACAACACATCATTAAAAAGTCATCTTCCGCACCACATTGTCATTTATAAGTGCAATACACACGTATGCAGTGACTCATTTCACAATACCCAGATTTATCCTCCTTATCAAACTTCTACATGTAATCTGTTAATTTAAAAATAACATATCCATAGTTCTTTTTAAGACTGTGCAATAGCTATAATGTTATTTTTGTGTATTTTTAAAATATACCCATGATTTTATTTTATTTTGCCATTCCTCAGTGGTTTGCGGTGGGACTCTAAATGCCACAAGTTCTGTACAGACCCTGAACTCACCCTCCTTCCCTGGCGCTTACCCTCCTTACACGTCATGTCGCTGGATCCTCGATGCACCGCCCCAAGAAACTATTAAAGTGTCAGTCCCGACATTTGTCCTCCAACCAAGCCAAAGCTGCTCTACAAACTTTCTGGAGATGAAGGACTGGCCTTTGGTGAGTTTAGATAAGGACCAAAAAGTTCTGGATTTGAAAAAATAAATAAATAACTTGGTTAATTGCAGTAAATCATTTAATTGATTAAGTAATTTACCTCTTTAAATAACAAAACTACTCATCCATTTTTTTGTTTTTCATTCAAATCAAGCTTGATTTATTTGTTTTATTAAAAAAAAAAAAAAAGTTCCAGCATGTATCACAACACTACATAGTGACAATTTCGGACCTTAATTGTTACAATACAACAAATATTTACAAAATGATAAAACTGCTGAGCATTTCATTACTAAACTACAACTTTATGCTTTTTTGGGTCATTTTAACATTCACACAATCCTGTCTGGCTTCTGGGTTAAATAATTGTGGTGGTTTAATTCCTACAAAACATTGTTTTTCAGCAACAGCATTTAAATGTCTTTGTTGGTTTCATATTAACACCAAAGACAATATCAAATTCTCCAAACTCCTAAAGAAGCACACTACTGGTAGATGTAACTGAATATTGCGATGAGTTGTTTCTGTTTAACATTCACACAAAGTTTGAGAAGAGGGGGTAAAGTTAATTCCAGGACATGGATGTATATAACTCACAGCACTTTGATTTTTTTATTGCTGCACCAAATGGGATGACCAAGAGCTTTTAGGGAATGGCACGCACAATTATTATAAATCGTTTAAAATGTTTTTATGTGTTTAACAGCAGAAGTCTTAAGATGAGGGTGAATGCATTCTAGGTTTCTGGGTGATACTACAGCGAGGCCCAACACACTTGTTTTTTGATGTAAACCTTTCTTTAATCAAAAATGTATTTTTTATGAAGTGTTTGTAAGTCATCAGTGTTTGCCTACAGTCTGATTAGGAAAAGGCCAATAATAGATTAGTAAACACATGCAGTATGTGCCTATATTTAATCAGGGCTGCAGACGGTTTTAGTTTATGGTGGCAGAAAGCAGAACATGGAGTATACAGTGAGTTAACATTAGTACTAGACGTCATTGTTCATCTACCATGGAGCACAGATGTATGAAGGAACAGCAGCAAAAAAAGCATAAAATAAAGAAACTTATTGAAGAAAAATATTCTCGATTTATCTTACTTACGTTAAAGGAGTCACACTTGATGTCAGGAGAAGAGTTTTTTTGCTGGTATTTATTTGCAAGGTCAGATTTTCAGGACAGGCTACACAGATATTCAAGAAGTACACACGTTAAGGCCAGCCAGGAGAATCTGCCACGGGTTGTGTGTGTGCAGCTTGTTTTTATACTCTTATCAGTTCAGCAGAGAAGAATGATTTTATTTTGTTTACAAATCAAATGTGGCTCACTGCATGAAATAAATATAAAATCTATTTGTGTTCTGGGTATAGAATATACAGTATATTTCACATACAAGCAGAAACAATCTGTTTGTTACATCCGTGCGTTGTTGTCATCTAACAAGGTTGTTGTGTTTGCAGGGAGACTATGGACAGTCGTTTAAGTTCTGTGCATCAGATGCTCAGCCTCCAGACTTTTACAGTTACAGTAGGACAATCCACGTCAACTTCAAATCTGAGGCTTTCTTCACAGGAAACGGTCTCAGTTTCACCTTTCAAATTGCCAGTAAGTTCATGCTGAACCCAGTACAAAGATAATTTTCTCTAACTGTCAAAATAAAAAAATAAAATAAAAAAATTGTTTTTATAATTCCCAAAAGGCACCATGTGTGGTTTGACATTGTGTTGGTTTTCAGGCTGTAGCAGAACATATGAACAGGAATATGGCTACCTGAAGAGTCCAGGGTGGCCTGACATCTACCCCCACAACATGGATTGCATCATCATCCTAAAGGCACCGCAGAACAGCTACATCTCTTTCTTCTTCAACAGTTTCGATTTGGAGACCCATAATGACTGTAACTTTGACTATTTGGAGGTAAAATAGTCAACATGTACCCAAACACATCCATTCTTTATGTTGCTTCTATATGCTACATATATGTCACTTGTTTGTTCCTCTGAATTTTGAGTCTAGGTATAGAATGTTCAAAGGCACCAGTGTAGGGCACATTAACCCACATCCAGCTCCAAAAACATTTACAAAAATGAGGATCGTACATTTCATGTTCACCATAGAATTTGGTTTATATCAAAGTATTATACAGGTTAACGAAGATAGTGTGAACACTGAAGGGATATTTCTTTAGACAGGGATCTAAATGTCACTATGTGGATCTGATCCAACAACTTTAGGTTTTCCACTTTACAAAGTTTACATTGAAGAAAAAAAAGAATAAGTCTACATCTTGCTGCAGTCTTCCCTG